GCAGCCCTCTTCCGTTCATTCCGAAAATCACATGGATACTTCTAACCTGTATTGTTTTTTAAAGTAATATTGGAATAAGCAAGAAGAAACTTGCTTGAATGTGCAGCACCTGCCTTCCCCTATTCCAATGTCGCTCATAACATCTGAAGTTGTGTATTTCCTGAGCAAAAGCTGTTCCACGACATTTTAAGAGGGGATTATACTACACATAAAGCTGTTGTGCATGTATCTTCCCAGTTCCAAACCCATGGCTGTGGTACTTGAGTAGCAAACCAGACACCCTTGATGAAGAGTGTGATTAAACACTCATGCCATTACCCTGATTAATATGCAAATAAGCAACGCTAAACTGTTCATGGGACTCAAACTTCAATCACTGACCCACTTCAACAAATGAGGAATGCAATCATGCTCCACGTAAGGACAGTGAATATATCTTCTTTTGCCACGCACTTGAGCAGAAGGCTCTCGAATTCCATGTTTTATGCTCAGAATATAAATGAATTTCTTTGTCTGAAGCTTTATTTCTGTAAGATTAAAGACAATTACTCATAGTGTTTTGTTCAGATACTACCCTTCTTTATTAAAAAAAAAAAATTAAATATAAGGAAAAAAACCTCAACCCCTGCAGTTAATCTGTTTGCACGTTTCATCAACAGAATAAAAAGGAAAATGCAGCGCTTTAGCCTGATTTCTGCAGCGCGATCCAGCAGCACCACCTGCTGCTTACAGGGAGCATTGCTGTTTTAGAGAGAGACAATAAACAATATATTTTTAATATATATATTCCAGAAGCGTGTACACAGTTTAACCTTTTTGAATGGACCTGAAACGGACTTCTAAGTTGCTTTTATGCTTTCAGAAATGCCATTCTAAGTGTCCGTCACAGGAAATACAGACGTTAAAGCAGTAATGGACTTCCTGCAATGTACCCCATAATATTTAATAATGCCAAGAGGTATATTTCCTGGGAAAAGTCTGTTTAGAGGTCTTAATCTTTTTATTTCTGTAAAATATTTTGGCAGAAACTCACATCTTCTCTGCAGCAGTAAATGGTCTGGTAAATTAGAAAGCCATTACACTGATTTCAGTGAGGGAGAAAATAAAGCCGTGACCCACTTGAGGTCGCAGAAAAGTTAATCAGCTTGTGTTAGTAAGTCATAAAATTCTTTGGTAAATGAGAAAAGAAAAAGATATTTTTTACTGAAATTTAAGTCCATTTATATATAATTAACCTTTTCTCTTTCTCTGTTTCTATTTCTTCTTGCCTTGGTGGTGCTACTCGTGCCTTTCCTGTGCATTACTGGCTTTTCCCTGCAGCTTTGAGCTGTGCCTGGCATGTGAGAGCCCAAAGAAGGGACAGCACCTACTGCAACTGCCTCAGCAGCACAAAGAGATGCTCCACAGGAAGACACTTTCTCCAGACAACAACCCTAAACACCAAAACTCACTCTTTCCTCCCCATCCCCACACATGACCCTGAGCATCTCTCACAAGGCCCCAGTGTGCAGGTGTCATCTCCAGCCTTACGACATGGCACGAGGCTCCTTGCTGGTGGATTTTATGAAGGGGAATAGCCTGAGTCGCTCAGCACTAACCTCTGTCTTAAGCCTTTCCTCGAGTCTGGATGTCAACTTGTTCTAGTTCTGCCTGGGTGGTTAAAAAATTGTCAGCTCACAGCATCTCCTGCTTTTGCCCAGAAATGCAGCTGGGTGTTCCTGGTGTCTCACTGTGCAGATACAATGGTTCACAAAAGCAGGCTCTGTGTTTCAGTGCCTTACTGTCCTTATGAAGTTCCAAACATCTAAGAGTAAAGGAATTTCAGTACTTACTTACCTCAATGGGTTTAGAAATACACCCTGCCGAGCGGAGCTACCACTGCCATTGACAGAATTAACTCATTGTGACTGTAGGAATCCACAGCTGAGGAAACCCCTCATGAGCCCTCACCCGGCGATGGGATGGGGTCCATGGTGTTACACCACCCCGTGGTGACATGGAAGGGCTGTGCTGCGCTGGGCCCAGTGCTCAGCTAAGGCAGCACTGGGAACAGGCTGAACTACAGGAGTGTGGGTTTGTGTGTATGACACTAACCTGCACTTCAGCAGCATTATCCAGTGACAGAAGACACGGAGTGTTGTACACAAAGCAGCTGGGACCAAAGTGTGGTTAGATATTAAGGAAATAAATCTATTGTGGCAGAAGTTAGGATATGGAATTTTTTAAATGCCACATGTAGCTTCAAGTTTACTGAGGAGAAGACAGCATCCAGCACCAACTTATGACCAAGTGTCATTAGAGCCCAGCTACACTGCAGCTAGAGGGGCATCCCTTCACAGGAGGCAGAGCCAGTGATCACCCCATGGCCGAGGTGGGCACAGCTGGACCCTGCAGCACCAGCACAGAGCTGCCCTCCTCACAGACCAGCTGGGGAAAACAAAAGGTGAGAGAGAAACCAAATTATGAACAAAGATGGCATTTTGAGTGAACGCACATCTGCAGCTGTTTTTTTCTAACATAGGAGCCAAGCCTCAGAGCAGGAGAGAGTTTAAGTGGAAAGGAAAGATAATTACGTCACTACGGTAAAGGAGAATAAAAAGATATCAAAAACACCTAACGAGAGATCTAACCAGACATCTAATGAGCACTTGTGAAGCACGCACGGGTGCTGATAATATCTGTACCACTAATGGAAGAAAGTGCAGAAGAGAAGTCTCAAATACTTAGTCTAATGAAAAAAATCCCCCATAGGTGGCACTGCATTTAGAATGAGTTACATAAAGCTTCACACTCCACCTGGTAAAGAAGATAGAAAATCAGGGAAAATGGTCACCAGTTTATTCCAGATGCAACTACACTGCTTGTAGATAAATTTATATAAAATTGGTTGAATTTAAAGGAAGATCTAAGAGAAAGCCAAATGCTGAATTTCTACAGTAGCCAGTGGACAGTGGAGAAGAAATACAGCTTAACGTTTCCAGAGGTGAATTAACAAAACAGCCTCCATCTGTTAAATCTGTAAAGTGACGAAGTAATGAATGACATCAGTGGACACAGGCAGTCAAAAGTTACAAAACAAAATTGTTGAAAAGATGTTGAATAAGAACATTTTACTTGGATGAAGATAAGCCTGATGCTGGGCTGCAGTTGCACAAAAGCAGTTTCTATTGGATCTCAGGGAATCACATAGCACCTTTGAGAGTCCATAAAGTTTAGTGGAATAAAATCCCATGTAAAGCATTAAGATTAAGAAACACCAAAACCAACACATACGTGTAGCATCTAATTCAGTGAGGTATGGCGATTTCCAACAGGATACTTTTCCTTCCTTATCATAATTAGCCAGAGTAATTCAGCACCAGTGTACCACTGAAGCAAAGGGCCTGGTTGTATTTTCCTCTAAGCAGCAATAGCCAGTCATAATATTACATATTTTAAAATGAATACAAAAGGTCTCTGCCAAAAATATTTTACTGGAATTAATTTGCAACAGCCACGTACAAAACACAGGATTGGCTGGTCTACCTTTAAACTGCTTTGTGGAGTTTCAATGTCTCCATTGCTACAAGACTGGTTCTGAGAAAGGCTATGCACAAAATCATCTTGTTTTCAGGCAATTTCTGGGTTAATTTTTTATTTTTTTAAGTTGGTGATGCTGTCCCCTGCAGAAACCATGAACCTGTATGGGACTGACACACTCTGATCTGACACACGAGAGCAATCACATGCCAAATTTAGAATTAAGGAAAACTGGTAAGTTTAAACCTAGAGTTGTAAAGCTCTACTTGGAAACATCAAAACAACACTTTAAAAGATCTCTTACTTTATAAAAAAATTACAAAATGCAACGCTTCTAGAGGACACAGGATTGCCCTTGTGATTTCAGAGCACACAAGGCAGAACAGGTACGTTCTTTTGTTACAGGGACAGCGCTCTGTAATAAGAAGCAAAAACATGGATCACAGAGTCCTGATAAATAATTCATCATGTTATAACTGACCTTTATCTTCTTGAGGAATTTCCCCAAGCATATCCTGTGCTTGGACCCTGAAAGAAGTTAACAAGCTGAAAGGCAAACCAGGCCTGTTACAGTAGTTAGCGATACAGACCGGCCTCTTACAGCACTGCGCTTCACCAGCCCAGCTTCTAGGCAGCTACTCTGAGTCGCAAAAATTTCTTGAAATTTGACTAATTTGTAACTTGTTATCTAGTTGGAGGCCAACTTTGTAATTAGTGTTGCCTGATCCTCAATTCCTTGTGAAATGATTACTGTAACAATGTGTTTGATAGGGAAAACAGGTAAGAGACTACAAAGGAACCCACTTGCTCCAGTCCTAGACTGAACTGGTGGTGGGGACACACTTTTGAACACAGGGAAAAACATCAGTCTCCCAAGGGATCTAATAATTGTAGAATAGAATAGAATAGAATAGAATAGAATAGAATAGAATAGGTTGGTTTGGAAGGGACCTGCAATGACCATCTAGTCCAACTGCGATGTACAGCTGGGACTAGATGACCTACTACCAGCTGACTGTACTAAATTGTACAGTGTATAAGGTGTGGCATGCAGATACAATAAGCACAAAGTATTTAAGCAAATTAATTTCCCTCAAAATGAACTGCCGTTATCTTTCTACTGTAGTGGCATCCTGTAGACTAGAAACAGTTAATGAAATCAACAGAGGGGGAGAAGATTTCTAATCTTGTAATTGTATTTCTTGAAGAATAAGATGTAGAATAATGAGACAGCTTCTACTACTTTCACCAGCGATTTATTCTGCAAAGCATTGCTTTCTTCAGTGTATTATTAAGGGCATATGCATATACCCAGCTATAGATCTGCACAATGCTGAGCAGACAGCACTCATTGAAGAGTTCCCTTTTACTAAGCAGCAAAAAATATTACTATTTAAGATGGTTCTTTCCACTTGAGCTGAATCATCCAGTAAGACAGACGGACCTGTACTAATATTCTTAAAGTACTTTTATTTCTAGAATTAAATGCAAGGAAAAACCTTTTATTGTGGAAACGATTTTAATAATGTCAAAGTATACAAAAACTTACCAGAACAAATGTTAGATGAACAGAAGATTAAAGAGTAATTGTAGCCTTACTGGACAATGTGCATTTCACACCTCCTTATTCATTGAAACAGAATTAGGACACATTTTTTTTAAAAAAAAAACAAAACAGCAGTTTTACAACTGTCCACCCTACAGTTATTCTGTCCATTCTACTGCTGCCCCAAATGCAGGAGTTGTCTGCTTGAGAGGAGCCCACAGCTTGAAAGGTTTAACTTATCTTTACTGATTCAATTAATATATTTTTTAACAAAACTTTAACAGGTTTTCTTTCTTTTTAAAGCTTACTTGCAAGTCATGTTTTATAGGCAATATTCTACCACCTACCTTCGTTAGTGGTCGATGTAACATTTTAAAGATATTTGGTATTCACATGATTTGCATTTGATGTTTAAAATACCATTACTGAAACAAAAGTTAATTTGTCCAAAAGGAAAGTCAGAGGCTAAAAAGACATCTTAGAACAATTACCAAAAGCCTTTACTGTATCATAGTCACTTCAAGTGTTGTAAAGCAGTTTTCTACAATCTTCAGCTTTTCTTCAGAAAGCAGGTTTTCTTGCTTCAATTGTCCAATAAGTGCTTCCAACGACCTGAGTCTCCCCAAAGTTTTTATCTCCTGCATTTCAAGTTGAGTTATCTTAGAGTAGAGCTTTGAAATTTTTTGCCAAAGGTGATCTCTGTCTATGTCTTGCTTGCAGTATGAATGCTCGGTTTGCAATACTTCACTTCCATCATATGCATTCATATACACAGATTTATCTGTTTCTATTTCTGCCTCCTCTGTGTCAAGAAACTCTTGCTTAATAGGCAGGAAAGAACTATTTACTATTTCAGGCTCTTCTGGACTCTCTGCTGGCACAATAATAGCAATGACAGATTCTTCACCTCCACTGAATTGTTCAATAGCTTGTGTGACTGTACTCAGTAAAACTGCATTTTCACTTGTTGGCTGTACTTCAACAGAACAGCCTATAACATGAGAGTTTGGATTTTCAATTGCATAGTCAGTAATTGGACCTAAAGCATCATTCAGTTTCAGAGATGAATTCAAGTAGTCAGCATCTGTAAAATGCACGAGTGTAGCTGTACAACCTACTGGATCCTCTACAGAAGTAGGAACGCTGGTACCTTCCATGCTCTGGACTGCCATTAAAACAGGATTAGGTTGATGTATATGCTGGTTAGATGAATTATCAAGAATGACACAGTCTGCTTGAAAGTCTTCTCCATTTTGAAGTTGCAGTTTTTGAATTTGTAAAGGTTTACTCGATGCAGTTGAGCAAACTACTTCTGGTTTTTCATCTACATTTTCTGCAATTACAGGATTTTTCTTTGGTGTACAAGATTCAAGTGATACAGATGCCTTCTTTGATTCTACATTTGCATTTGTTTCTTCCAGGTCTTCTCTCTTTACCTCTTGTGGGGTGTTCTGAGAAGAGTCTTTTCCCTGGTAAAAAAAACAAAAACAAAACCAAAAACCAACCCATAAATCCAACCACCTTGTAACTATGCAATCAGTTGTACAGAAAAAACATTGATCAAATCCCATTCTACAGCATGGTACAGCGTAACTAGTCATTTAGACAATCACCATTTAAAAATTACACAAGAGACGTGAAAATTCATGTAAGTGTCTTCCCTAACTTTGCTTCAGGTCCTAAATGTTAAAATATTATTTTTAAGCTCTTAAGGCTGTATTATTATTTTTTTCTTTTTTCAAACTCTAAGAAACTTTACTGATTTACACAAGTCATCATAATCTGAAAGGCACTTGAAGAGAAGTGGCTAGACATGTCTGTTTGACAAAGACTGGGTAGCATCTCCAATTACCACCTGAAGCACTGTATTAAATATCTGTGTATTAAATATACACAGTAGAATAATTTTTCCATTAAAGATGCTACAAAGTTGTTTTAGCCAGTTATGGCAAATTTTTAGTCATGTGGTCCACCCCAAAGAGAATTTAATAAAAACAACAACAGAAAAGATCACGAATGCAGGCTTGCAGAACAGTGGACATACTCATGCACAAACACATGGGTGGATTTTTAAATAAGCAATTAAATTCTGAGAGTTAAACTTCACAATTCATAAAAATGGAGAACTTTGAATAGAATTTTAACAGAAGGATAAAATTCTAACAGGACTTTAAGCAGAAGTTGTTACTGAAAGAGGGACAATTTGAAGCTTATCCTTTTTTAGTCACCTTCTTTTCCCCTCCTCCACACAAACTACACCACCACAAGATTAGATTTTAGATCAGTATTCAAACAAGCTTTTTAGTGTGTCAGTCAGTGAAACAAAAATACATAATAGTGAGTGTCTAATTTTTTTCTAACAGGACTTTAGCTTGTTGTTCCTCTACATTAACACATCAACATAGTAACAAGCGATTCTCCCCAGAATAAGGAGAGCTCTTTCCCATCTCTTTGTGAATCTTCAGCCTATGTAGAAATTTCCGTTTTTGGGGTGTGGGAAAGTAATGGAAGATCAGTGAGGAGGACTGTAAACATGCTCACATGGCACATGCCACTCTCACATGGCATGCTGGAGAACACATACATCCCACTAATCGTTGCTTAGTCTTACGTGTTCGACAAGTAGAACACCTGCACTTAGATAACACAGGCCTGTGATGGACTCAGAGGCACCTTATCGAACATGTCTGACATTCCTGCTGTCGGAGAAGATCAAAGCACAGTAGAAATCCCTGAAACACGGGTGAGAACAGCAGGTTTGGACACACTTACTCTCTTGCTTGCTAATAAGGACTCTCACTATCAAGAACTCTCTCACTCCATGGTGCCTGCATCCCCCACTTACTGCTGCCTGGGTGCTGCTTTAGAGATTCCCTGGTTCGCAAGGTATCGAGATTAAATCTGTTCTTTGCCTTTCATCCGTGCTTCTGTGGTTGTTCCTGCGTCCTGCCTGTGTCAGGTCCCACATGGGGCAACTGCAGAACCAGTGGCCAAGCCAACAGATACTAGAGATTCCCTGGTTCGCAAGGTATCGAGATTAAATCTGTTCTTTGCCTTTCATCCGTGCTTCTGTGGTTGTTCCTGCGTCCTGCCTGTGTCAGCTCCCACATGGGGCAACTGCAGAACCAGTGGCCAAGCCAACAGATACTGTTGAATTGCTGAGGTGGTCACTGACAGGATAGGCGTAAATGTTTAGAGAAGCGCAGTCAGAAGAGTGAGATTAATGAAAATAATGCCAGCCAGAGAAGCGAGACCACAGGAAAGTTCACAGTATCACAGATATCAAGAACTGGCATCTCGCTTTCTTTGATAGCAGGAAAGTCATGGATATGTTGAAGGGAAGCATAGAATATTCTTTTCCCAAACTGGATAAATTTATCTGGAATTTCCCATATATATTGCTGATACAAAAATAATTCAGAGAAGCCATTGGTCCTTGGCAACAACACTGCATAAAAAGTTTCTTAACTTTATAACTCTACTGTCCACCTTTGCAGGTGTACTATGGCTTGTCTATGGTCACACGCAAAACAAGAGAAAATGAAGAGATAGGGAAAAGCCAACTTTTCTTTGCGGGACAAAATCACAGAGTTTATCTGCAATTGGCCAGAAGCACAGGTCATCAAAGTCCAATTCCAAAGCTAGGGTTCCTTGTCACAATGACAGCACGGGGAAGCAAGGCATATACTGAAGCAGAGGAGGGCAAGTGGAAGGAAAGATATTTACTGTTAAGTTACTACCACCATGAATTGCAGAATTTTCTATTTTTGTATTTGAGAGATTCACCAAGATTGCTTTTCACTCTGCAGAGTCTAAAGCAGTCTGGGCAACACCTGCAGCTATCCAAGCAGATAGAGAACTTCCTGAGTAAAAATAAATTATTTTGTAAAATTAATTGGCCACACATTTCAGTCTCAGCAATTTAGCCTTAATAGTAGTTCCAGTCTTTCCATTTCTCCAGTCTCCAATATGATGATCCAGAGCAAGACAGTTACGTGCCGGAAGAGAATTAGCATACCTTTGATCAAGATTAAGTGCCCGTGTAGCACAGTATTTTTATGTAACCAATAGTAAAACTCTGTGAAAGAGAAGATGGAATAATCTTTGGGCCATACCTTTAACAGCCTGCACCCCTGAACTCTTAGAGAGGTTAGAGACAGGGACGAGAAATGTGTTATTTTGAAACTAATACATTCCAAAGCTAGTGTTTATGTACAGTTAATAAAAGAACATTAAAATATTTAGAATCATAATGTTTTCACAGGAAATTTATTTTCCTATGGGACATTTCCTATAGGAAATGCTTCTGTAATTTCCAGTTATAAAAGATACTGAACCTCCAGTCAAAATATGGGAAGTTTTTCTTACTTTACATTACGGAATCACATACTTGTCAGTCCTGTTGACAAAATATTTTGATGGATGGGAAATATATTTTTAAAATAAAATATGAATATAATACAGGTAATTAGAACATCCGTACTACTTAAATAGTTGGTTAACTGTACCACAGTAAATAAGATAGGAATACATTACCTCATCATCCGGGGAAGAGAAAATTGTCGGTACAGCGTTGTGTTTCAAGTATCGTATACCCCATCGCACGTCGAGGGAATCGGGAGTAAAGTGATCACTGCACAGAAGCTGGTGCTTACTGGGAGTCCACGCATCTCGCTTCATATTCCGCAACCATTTCTCGAGTCTCTCTTTATCATGAAGTGGAAATCTTTTTTAAAGCAGTTGAAAAAAACAAACAAAAACACAAACATGAAAATGGTTATTTTTGGTCTTTCTTCTTTTTAAATAAAGAATATCTCATTGCTCCTTACAAGGTAGTGGTCTATTAGGAAAATATTAAAATAATCCTTTTTTAAAAAAGTTTAAATATGTAATGCTAATTAGGATGTCACTTACATGTTAAACCAATAATAATCCAAATTATTTCTAGTTAGATATTAGCTCCAGAATTCAGCAGCAGAACTTCTGTTGATTTCTGCTAGTCAATGGTTTCAGAACCATGGCCAAGATGTTTTAAAAGGCTTGATCCTGCAACATTTGTTCAGAACATAGGTTCTGCTGAAGTCAGATGAAATACTGACACAATTTTAAAAAAGTAAGGTCTGGCCTTTGTTTTAAAAACAGTATTTGTGGGGCTTTTTTTCCTTACTAGACACAACTAGTAACAAAAACTTTTGTCACTATTTTTAGTTTAACAGAGTACCTCTTATTATATGTCATACTTTGGATTATCTGATAACTTTGAAATGTGACTATTTCAGTGCAGGATTTAAAATTTGTTCAAAAAGTTAATACACAGAAATGCAAAACATTTCTACATTTTGTGTTTCAGCAATTAAGCTTTCTTACAGCGTTTAGAACCCACAAAATATTATGTCACCCATAACTAACTTTTCAACTATATAATCTACTTGAAAAAGAAAATTAAAAGTATACATATTCATAGAAAAAAATTAAATTGATTCTGAAAATATATGCAGTCAGACAAATTACATGGGAAAGAGAACTAAATTAAGAGAAAGTGTGCGAAGACATAAAATTTACTTAATGAATGGCGATACAGAAATTAAAGGGAAATTAAAGGCTCCTTCTGATGCTTGTACAGTCAAGCAGTTACGGTAGGGGCAACATGAACATTCAGACCACTCCTGGCTCTCATCTCTTACCAGACATACATCGGGATGTTTGTAATGCACTTATAGATTTCTCTGGTGCATATCAAGTTTCTTTCAATTCTAGTATATAACCATATATGATATACATAAACTGTAACTTGAATTCTGAGGACTGTTAGATAACTACTGTTAAGAAAGCAGTATTCCTTAGAATCATGAGCAATAATGATTTTAATCTATGTTTTTGTGGATATGAAACCGTAAGAGACAGATTCATCTGGTCATTAAACCTCACCTAATCATAGCTGTAGGATGCAAAAAACATTAGCTGGTGGCAGTATGATGGACAACAGAAACATCCAGACATGAACAAGTGCCTACAGCCTCTTCACAAGAGCCATTTTGGCTATTCCCTAAATAGAAATGGAGCATTCATAACTCTTCTCTTAGCTCGTTTCCTTTTAATTAGCAATCAGTTCTTTTGGTTATGCTTATTACAATATGTTTATGGAACTCCAGTGCTCAAAACAATTGGTTCTGCAGTGAGGTATTCCTTATTCCCATAGAACAGCAGCTGGGGAGAGAGCCTGGAATGCCCAGTGTCACCTGCTATGAAAAGCACTAGTAAGTCAAGTTACGTCTTGGTAAACCCTAGATCCCACCCTCACATCCCAGAAGCTGCAGGTTTCCTCCAACAGCCACACATGGGAATGACTCTCTTATGCAGGCCCACAAAACTACAAACTTAGCTGATTTTGAGAGAAAGATACCTGAGATTCACAAGATAAACGTGCATGTCTTCACCCCCCCCTCAACCTTTTTAATTTGTTGCCATTAAGTTTTGAAGTTACCAAGGAAACAGAGCAACCTTTTGATGCACCTGGCTCTGAGTGTTTGCAGGGATGCAAGGAATAATGCATAAAAAACGCATAAAAAACACAATAACCTCTCAAGGACAGGTTTAGAGGTTCAGCCTTTTCAAATCCTGCCTACTTAGAATGTGTACACCCAATTACACATATTATACAGCATGGCCCATGAGTAACAGAGCTTAGTCTAGGATGTTACTACATAGGTCCAAAAAATGCTCCCAGTAAGAGGATGCCTTCTTTCAAATGAAGGTCATGTCACCAACCACATCCTCTTCAAGAAGGGCTAGAGAACATTTGCTTCCACTGTTGTCACTCTTGCAAAACAGCACTCACTGCCTTCCCCACCATCAGCAAGCTTCAGATGGGAAACAAAACCATCTGTAGTGAGAGACAATGTCTGATAGCGAAATTTATTATTTTAGCATCAGGGCAACTTTGCCAAATCCTGCTCCTGCTTCAATACCTCCTTACTCATCAACAGAATCTGTCCTCTGGTGCAAATGAAACACAAAAACAAAAGAACAATGGAAAGAGGAAGTGTACAGAATTTATTCAGGAAATGCCACTGCTGCACAAGTCAGAGAGGTTAAACAAGAAAACAAAGGCAGGCAGTTAGGCCAGATGAGATTAGGTAACAGTTTAAAAAGTCCAGAAGGGGCTCAAACCAAAACTACAGAGCAGCAGAGGACTTCTTTGGGCTGGAAAGGGAATAAAACTTGCAATTCACATCAGCCGTAGTTGCTAATGTAGGGAAAGAGATGTCTATAAATCAAATCTCAACACCCCTTCTACAGTACCGTGACACTCGTAATGCAGCACAATTCAATAGCTGGATAAAACAGCTGTGTTTTTGCAATTATCTTTATATTGATGCCATACATTTGAATATAATTATGTATCAGCACTCAAACTTGTTTGGATAATCCATGTGGCACTCACATTCTCTACAGCAATACAAATAATTTATATGCCCTCATTTTCATGACTGTTTTATGATGAATCATATCTTAAGAGATATGCCAGGAAAAAGAGCTTTCCTTCAATCTAAACAAATCCCTTTCAAAGCAGTCTTTCTATGGGTCTTCCTACATAGCCTTCCTGATCTTGGAATAACAATAACTACTCAGCAACTGAAACAAACTTAGGTTGAGGTATAAATTTAGCCAAAATAGATTTTGAGACTAGTTTATTCTTCAAACTGTTCTTAAATGCTACAAAATTCCTTCTGTTGACAAATGCTTATCGGACTTTTATTCAACAGAAACACATTAATATTTAGTTACTTGCACTGCGCTCCTCTCAAGGTTGAGAAACACGTCTGATAGCCCTGCATTTAGGGAATCAACAGCCACGTAATCACAACAGTACAGAGGTTACTGCGGGCCTGGGATGGTGACTAATCACTCAGGTGGCCGGGTAATACTATGCAGCCACTATAAACTGGTTTTTGGCAAGAGAGCTAGTTAGCTTCCAGCTGGCTCAGCTGCCTCCAAACAAACCAGCAACGCTTCCGTTCGCAGCGCGGGCAGGATAATAGTTCTAGTGGGAATATTTAAAGAATCAACATATGTTTACCTTCCTCCTCTGCCAGGCCCACCGCCTGGCCCGCAAGCTGCCAGAGGCAGCACCCTCAGCTCCCTCACCACGATAGCCAGTGCCTCGGCTGATGCTCACCCTGCTGAAACACCCCTGCCACAGAGGCTGCCTCCCTCGAAAAAAAACAGCGGGGTTACCGGTGCTGCCAACAGCTCACCGGCCTCATGGTTATAAGCACAATTTTTATTTTTTTTTTTGGCGAATCTCTTTGGTGTTCACTTCATGAATCCTCTGCACTTATCCAAAGGCCCTTCGACCTCTCGCCCCCAAAACAAGGGGGTTGTCGAGCCCCTAAACTTAGTTTCTCAGCCTTTTACTCCTCCCCCCCCAGCTCCTGAGGGCCCCCCACGGGCCTCCCCTCACTCGGGGATGTGATCGCCATCCCCGGGGCCCGCCCTCAGCCACACCCCACCCCGGCCACTCACGGGTAGAAGCTCAGTTTGCGCTGGTCCCTGGCGCTTTGGCCCCCTCGGTTCTTGCAGCAGGAGGCGGCGCAGTACCGCGGCATGGCGGAGCGGCCCGGTCCCGGAGCGGCCCGGCGGCCGGAACCACCCAGCCGGCGGCGGCAGGGGCGGGGAGGGCCGGAGTCACGGGGGCAACGGCCGGCACCGCCTCCCGCCGCCCCGCCCCTCGGGAGGAAGCCCCGCCCAGCATCACGTGGGGCCGAGCGGCCAATGGGGCAGCGCTTCGTGTAGGAACGGCTGTCGGGGCGCGGGGGGAACCGTCTGCGCGAGCGCCGGCGGCCGTTGGGCGGGAGCCGGGCGCTGAGGGGCAGCGGCCTCTGTGCTGGCGGCGGCGAGGGAGGGCTGAGGTGAGGGGCGCCTGCGGGGAACTGGGTGAGGAGTGGCGAGGAAGGGCCTAGGCTACTGTGGAAGGGCTTGGGGAAGGTGGAGGGCTGCTGAGGTAGCTGGAGGGGAGGCGGACGCGGAGGGGCCGGAGAGGTCAGGGGGCGCTGGGGCTGCTGGAGGAGGGGGTTTGGGGGTGTCGTGGGAAAGGAGGGCCACTGGTGATGCACCTTAGAGCTTTGGGACAACAATGGGACTTGGTCTGGTGGATTTTTTTGCCCTTTGGGCCTCCTCTGTGCTCTTAAGTCTCGGTAGGCCTGTCTGCTGTGGTCTTTCCCAAGCCTGGCTGACTTGGAGGTGGGACAGAGTAGTTTAGTGTCGCTGGTATCATCTGCCCAGCTCTGGCTTGGCCCTGCTTTGTGGTATGGCTCTAGCGAGGTTCATTAGGGGCCTGGCTGGGGAGGGTGATGGCAGGGGAGGCTCTGTCTCTTTTCCCAGTTCTCCAGAGCTAGACGTGGAGGCCTTCTAGATTGGCTTTCTGGTCAGTATAGGTGAGGCCAAGAAAAGTACAAGCCCTGGAGTTTGACAGGCGCTTCTGTAGCTGGCGGTGGACTAGGAGACTTGCTTACTCATCGGGTTAGTCGTGATATGAGAGCCAGTGGAAAACTTCGATAGCTTTCTTACTACTAATGAATCGTTTGCAAAAATAGTTATATGACATCAGAATTCCACTGGATAGTGCATTGCAATTCATGTAATCAGAGCAGTAGTGGTGCTGTGGATTTTCCTGAGTACATGAGACTTTGTGAATATAAGCATTTACTTAAGATCTTTGCTAATTACTTCGAAAGAGGGATGGAACAGGGAATTTTCATAGCATGATGGAAAGTAGCTCCTTATATTCTATATGTAACAGTTTTTATTCCAGCTGTGTCATCCTTAAACATCACTTAATCTTGCAGCTTTTGATAAATGTTGATGAACTGATAAAGAACTGATTCAGTGTTATCACCTTGATAATACTTTTGATAAACTTTAGACACTATACTTCTTATAGCAAGCTTAATGGTAGTTGAGATCTGTAACTACTTATGCAATAGAATTAAATATTTAATCTGTATTAATAAAATATCTAAGTTTATTTCTAGATGTACCCAAATAAAATGTAGTTCTTCACAGTTTTAGGAGGGACTGTTTTGTGGCATGAGCTTTGTGTGAGGAAGTATTTAGAACTTAACAAATTCTGGAATGTATTTTAGAGTAATTTATGTGCTTAGCCTGGAAAGTGAAACTTGTCTGTCCCTTTTTGATTGGGAAACCGAAGGAAAAGAGACATAAGCAGTATTTAAAAAAGACTTTATTTTTAAAGGGATTGTAAAAGTATTTAGGGAAGGCAGCAAAGAGGTCAGGTATTTAACATCTTAATTAGCAGTAGCAACACTGAAGTGTTGACAGCATATAAAAGCTGTATTTTCTGAAAAGTAAATTCAATAATGATGATAGTGCTTAAACATAAGACTTACTATGTGAAGTTTAAAATGCTTATACTGGAGTTTCATTTGTATTTGATTTTCATTTACATTCTATTTTATAATGTTTAAATTTCATTGAGTTGTTCAAGGGCAACATTAAATTGTCTACATTATTGAAATAGTGAAACTTAAGTATTGATAATTTGTGCTTTAGAAATGCAGATAAAACTAGGGGAAGTATAGCATAGAACTGCATTACAGAAATCCTAATGTAAAACTGTAGAAAAAGGGGAACTTAGCTGTAATTCATTAACAAGAATAATAGAAGTTGAGGTTAGGCTGAGCAGAAAACTTTAGGTGAGCGATTCAGTATTCTCAGTCTCTGATGAACTTGGGAGTTTTAAAAGAGGGTTTGGCTCTTAATAAAGAACATAAGCCAGTCTTTTTAGTTATTTTCAGTGTTTAACAATAGAAGCAGGGAAGTTAGCCTTAAGAGAATGCAACAGGTGATTATGTAAGCATGATGCAGGTGTGGGGAAATGAGGTAAAATAAAAATAATCTCACATGTGATATGAAGACATGACTCTGTGTCTATGTAGCACAAACAGGAAGAAAGCCCCAGAAGTGTTGAAGGATGTACATGTGTGTAGTTCTTAGTGCCCAAATGGCAAAGCTTCACGTTAGTGAACTGGTGAGAGAAAATATGTGGAAAGGCTTGTACTAAAAATATGCCTGGTATCATGCACGGAGAATACTGAAAAGAGCTGTCCGTTTGATATCTAAGCACACTGATCAAAATACTATTTGTTTCAACTGTTGCTCCTTAACACTTGATATCATGCAGGCTGCTAGCCAAATAAATGCCTAAGAGGGCATGGGCATGTTAATCTTATGAGCTTTTTGCTCTTGCCTCATAAGATTCGTTTTAGTCCCTCGACTTGCCCATTAGAAATGTTTAGGGTTGGGTTTTTTTTCCATTTTTGATGCTTGGGTGTTAAGTTTCTTTAGAGGGTATGGACTTTCTATTAAAGGCTTAATTGTCTTATGTACCTGATAGACAAAGGTTTTGACCTCTGTGTGACAGATGTTTGGGCCGCATAGTGTCTAAAAATATTCTGACTTTAATGGTACTCAGAGTGTAAGGTTATATTCAACTTTCAGGAGAGTAATACCATTCATCTCTTTGAGTTGTCCTTACAGTACACTCAAATCAGTGTAATCTGGTGAGGGGAACATGTTACTTCTGGCATGTTCAAGGCCTTGTCTTACATCCTGCTGGTTGGATGACAGCCAGCATTCTGTCTTTGAACTTTCATGTTTCTATACTCTGTTTTAAATATAATATGCACAGACCCTGGAAAATCATTTTATTGCTCCTTCTGGTAGGAAGAGCTTACTCTGTCCTTCATAAAAATCACCAAAGATCATGTGGCTACGTGGACCTGATTTTGCTTATGTCTGACTTATGCCTCGGTTTTTCCCCCTGAGTTCTAGCATCAGTTTGTTTTAAAATGTAACTTTTGACAAATAAGTTGCTGAAAAACATTACAACTTTTAATTATTGTTGAAGCTGCTCGTCTAGTATAGAAGGCTTCTTTTTTGAGTTTGGTTCAGACAGAGTTTAATATGTAAACCTTTATATGCAGTGATATTTATCAGATGAATTCTTTGATATCAAAGATATGGTAGGTGTTTTTATTTATAGTACAATCTAATATGAAAGTAAGCTAAGCTCAGGCCGTTGTAAAGATAGATGAAGATGTGCCCTACTTGACTGAACTCTGTACTCTAAATAAGTGTTTCACTCTTTATGATGTTCTTCTTAGGTCTGAAGCTGAGCATGAGTGTCTAACAGTCTTGTCTTCCTGCTCCTCACAGTCTGGTCTGGTCTGGTTGTATTTTCAGGCTCTTACTGCTGCACAAGCTAATCAGTGAATTGGTCTTCCAGAGTTGAGTGGATCTTTGCAGTCTGTGCATAACTTAGAGCTGCTGTATTTATGGTCCTAGAGTTCAAGAATTAATTTAAATCTAGTTCAGGTGTGCCAGCATGAACTGTTTGATACAGTAAGGTGTATTATATATTTACTTCAACAGCTCTGTGGGAGAATGTACAGTTAAGGATAGGTGTAAAACAAAGATGAACACTGAAGCGTGTTTGTGATGCATGTGAAACATGAAATTGCAGTATTTTCAATATTCTGTGATTATGAAACTGAGGGAATGGAATTTGACACGTGTGAAACCATGTGCTTACATGTCTGTCACTGAGTGACCTCTGAAACATACAGATCTTCCTATGCCAGTTTACAGTTGCACCTTTAAATTGTTGTGGAATGTGAAACAACTTGTTCTTCAAGTATATTTCTTTTTCTTTCTAGGAACCCGAGAAATGGCCACTACACAATCTGTCTTCACATTTGCTCTCTGCATTTTAATGATAACTGAATTAATACTGGCTACAGAGAGCTATTATGATATCTTAGGAGTGCCAAAAAATGCATCTGACCGCCAGATCAAGAAGGCATTTCACAAGCTGGCTATGAAATACCACCCAGACAAAAATAAGAGTCCTGGAGCAGAAGCAAAATTTAGAGAAATTGCTGAAGGTAATATATGCTAATCTTAGTCTCAATACTTTGATACACGGCTCATATCTGTGAGCAAATGTGGTAACTTAATTATGCTCTGCTTTTACTGAATGAGAGGTAAAAAGACTTTTCTTAATTCTAGTTCTGTGCTGTCAAATGTCCAATATCAATATCTGACTTGTTTCTATGTCCTTGCACATAATCAAGCATTTTACACAGTTTATGCATTCCTGCTTATTAGGTTTTTTGGCTTATGCCTCTTGTCCCAGAAAAAAATACTTGGCAGTAGGACAACTTTTGCCCTAGGAGGTTAATTCTTATCTTTTGATCTGTCTAATAAGATCCAGCTCAGGATTACTAGGACTTCAGAGGGACCTAACAGAAACCTTCTAGTTACTATGGGGAGATCATAAAAAAAATGCAGCAAGGTGTTTCAGTGGTTCATAGTGGGAGTACAGGAGATGATAGGTGCATGAGGTTCAGAGTGATTATAAGGGAAAACTTTTTCATCTTGAAGACAGGCCAATGTTGGAACAAGTTCCTTAGAGAGGTTGTGCAGTCTCCAGCCTTGGAGATTTTTAAGGAGTGGATAAAGCTCTGTGTAATTTAGTCTGATCTTGTAACTAACGCTACTGTAACTACTTTGAGCAGGAGGTTAGAGACCTTCTGAGGTCCCTTCCAACCTGAATTATTCTGCGATCCTAGGAATACACCGTTCATGAGTGTTTTGTGATAAAATACAACGGTCGAAGCAAAAAATCCAGAATAGAAAAAGATGTGCTGAAAAATAAGTTGTTCCCACTGCTCGCTCCTATAGACTGTGTTATAACATCCATCTAATTGTGTAGTTGTCCTAACTAAACTAATAAAAGATTTCTGGATTTTACCTTCTTGTCTGCAGAAAAGTTATTTTGAAAGAAAAGTAGTTATTAATATAATGAAAGGGAGGGGCAGTCTTTTTAGATACTGCAGTTGTTGGCACCAATTACAGAAGGAACTTGGAACTCTTAAGTGTTGAAGTATATAGAACAGTTTCAAACCTTTGACAGATAAGGAAATGTAAGCATTAAAATACTTGTTATCACAATGGGTATATTATCTGTCAGAGTTTCTACCTTGGAACACTAGTAGCTGAGGTTCCATCCAAAGATCGGATAGAAACCTAATTCCATTTTAGGTATATCCAAACACAGAATCTAGGTTTATTGTTGAACTTTTGAAAAAATTGAGAATTTGGACATAGGAGAAGATAATTTCCTTTGTTTTATCTCCTTGATGTTTATCTTCTCGCTTAGTTGAAACTGCAGTGTAGCTAGAACTGGCTGCCTGGCAAGTAGTTTTGCAGACATTGGGCTGTGTTTGTGTGATAGGAATGCAGCAGGCAGTTAATTTTGTTAGACAGAGCTCCTAACTCATCCTCTCTCCTTCAGTCTTTCTGATCACCATGTTTCATTGCAATTTTCTTCAAATCTAAGCACTGGTAGTTGGCTATATTGTATTATGTGAATTGAAAATTTTAAGGATATAATCTGTCCTCATAGTATAGCTATATTTATTATTATAAATAAATAGTTATTTATTTTGAAGCAGTTTATTTTGTGTTGGAGACAGTTAAACAACTGCGAAGCTTGATTGGGCTTGTGTGTTGAATAAAAATCTTGCTTCAAATCTGTCCTGTTGAGAGAGTGGGAGAAAGCTGTTCTTGTTGGTATTTGGGTATGGTTTTCTTTCCTTTTTTTTTTTTTTTAAATGGGAATGTAAATAAACTTTTAAAACGTTTTGTTTTGCTGTTTTTAACAAAAATAGCATATGAAACATTATCGGATGAAAACAAACGAAGAGAATATGATCAGTTTGGCCGTCATGGAGGACAAGGAAACAATGAAAGCCCATTTCATCAGTCATTTAATTTCAACTTCGATGATCTGTTCAAAGACTTTGACCTCTTTAGTCAAAACTCACGGTCAAAAAAGCACTTTGAAAATCACTTCCGAAGTCATCGGGAAGCCCACAATCGGCAAAGACGTTCTTTCCAAGAGTTCTCCTTTGGAGGTGGACTGTTTGATGATGTGTTTGAAAATATGGAAAAAATGTTTTCATTTAGTGACTTTGAAAATGCCCACCGGCATGCGGTGAGAACTGATACCAGGTTTCATGGATCCAGCAAGCACTGTAGGACTGTCACTCAGAGACGAGGAAACATGGTTACCACATATACAGACTGCTCTGGACAATAATGTTTTCTTTATTTTCATCTCTTTTCTTCTTCTTTAAACACCTTCTTAATCTTTCTTGGTTTTGTGCTAACATGGAAAAAATTTTGAACTGTTTGTTCTAAAAAACTGCTATAAAGAAATTTAGATGGAACTAATCTTCAGAATAGAAACAACATGCAGTTGGGAAGTAAATGCCTCAGTAACTACTTAGAATGGGAGAGAAATCATCTCATGTATTTCTGTTTAGTAAATACTTCCCATAAATTTGAACTTCAACACAAAATATGTATTTTTAATTTCAGAAATGTAATATAATTTTTTCATATATGCCAATTCAGGACCGTTTGAGTTACTGGTGCGTATGGATTGCAGCAGAGGACGTACTTGCAATTTTTACCTGGTATGGACTTAGTGTGCAAATTTGATGATTTACACAAAATAGCAGCAGAAATATGACTTGCCTGGGTCTCTGTTAGTCTATCCGGCATTGCAAATGTATTAATTAAAAAAACCCCACTTTTTAAAATTGGAAAATAACATGGGGGAATATGTTAAGATTGTGCTTCACCTAGGAGAGTGATGTAGGAATTACTTTTATTTCCAAATAACCTTTCACTGGCCTGAAAATATTTTAGGATTTGAATAACCCTTGACTTATTTAAGGGCTATTCATGTATGTAAGTTCGTGTGTACACAAGGTCTTTTTTTTTTCCTTTCCAAAATACAAATATCTAACAAGGTTTGGAAGAGCATACTGAAAACACTCTTGTTTTATGCTTATTATATTATCATGTGCGCAATGTAGTTTCTGTAGCTCAGTTTATTGAACTTAAATACACCCCGGTGCTCTTGTGAACTTAAACAAGGTAAGCTTGCCTACAGATTCCTGGTGTTTCTGGAAGTTTCTAAATAAAAAACTGATAGATTGTGTTTAGATTTGACAGATTTGTTACCTGTCATCAGGAATCTTTCAGCATTGTGATTTGAAAGGTAAATTCTTAGCATAAATACAGAGTAAAACTGAAAGTTACAGTTGTATTCATCTAATGTCTCGTGGTGCTAACGGGTATCAATTGAAACCCATTACCAGTCTAAACTATTTAAAACTTTAAAAAAAAACACAAAACAAACCCTGAATATTTTAACTGATGTCAGTCCAAAAGTTCAGTTTAATTTCTTAACTAGTAATACAGTTTATTAAATTTGTTCCTCTTGAACATTGGTGTCACCTACATACTGCTATCCCTTTGGAATTGTGAAATAAGAATTTACCTTTCAGATTGATTAATGAGCAAAATGAGCATTTTAAACAGCAGTGTTCTAAATAGGCTTTGAGTTATTAAAAATGTTATCAAAAGAGATTTAACCCTCTGCTTCTTGGATGGATATTGAAAGCTGCCTATTTGCTCAGTAACTTTAATCTTCCCCTCCAGGGTCCGTAATATTGCTTGTTCAGTTTTCATTCACTAAATACTTGGAATGGATTGTTGCATTATATTAAGTGCTTTTTCTTTTCCATGTTCTTCTTTATTTATTAATAGACTAATACCTCATATATGGTCTTTATATAAAGCCAGTAATTTGTGCAACATTTTTGGAATGTGCAATATTCTTGTAGTAGGAAAAGTGCTGGAGTGAGTGTGTTTGTGTTATTTCCACCCTTTTTCTATGTAAGTAGAGATTTTTCATTTCTTCTGTAAAAATTAATATATGATTCAACCAAAAATTGTAATTCATATAGATTTCCGCATTTTTTTCTTTAACATACTGCATCAGTCCTATGCATGAATCAAATTATCTGATTCATATCATATGGGCATCCAAATGAACAAATTTCTAACTTAAAGTTCTGAATTACTTTCCTTTACCAATACCAAGTTTTTTAGAGGACATTTCTGTATGCATTTGAGGAGAATTGTTCACGCTGATAAGACTTTGGCAGGATGTGGCCTTTAGTATTAAATATAAGAGAGTATTAGGGATGATGACTGCTGGAACTTAGTGGTGGGAGGCAATTCTAGAAAGGTAAAATGTTAATGACTTTCTTAATCCAGTGAGAATTTTCTTAATATAAAATATTTGGAAACATCAGAATGAGCAGTTCCTAAGCACGGGAGAAGGAAAATTTAAAGTTCCTACCAGAACCAAACTATTGGCTTCTCCAAAGGTAGTTTTTTCTAGTTATGGAATTGAGCCCTTTCCTTCATCCTGAATTAGAGGAATAAAAGCTAAAATGAGCAATGTAAATTGTAGGAATTGCAGCCACCCCCAAAATTTAAGCCTGTTTTAAGTGACTGCATGAGTTCACTATTTTTCAAGCTAAGCTTTTAGGTTTAACCTAAAATCAACAGTCCTTAGCTGCTTCTAGGTTAGATTTCCCTCTTTAAGGATACTCCAAACTTTGTGTGAATCACATGTACTTGTTTTCCTTAACTCTAAAGTTGAACTATGAAACTGATAATAAAATGATAGGGTTGCCAGTTTTCTAGCTGATAGTACCTTAAAGAGACTTCTCCCGAGTCTATTTTTATCTCCTTCCATATTAGTTCTCTTTATTACTTGCCACAGGAAAACCAACAAATGCTTCCTATTATTCCTATGGCTTCTCAAAGTGACCTTTCTGCTTGTTTCGGTTGTTGATCCAAGATGAAATCCAAAGGAGAGTTCATAGCTAGCGTGGCAGAGTCTGGTGTGCTGCTATCCGTGTGACTTTCTGCGATGAGTGGGCTTTGAATAGACCTTACCTGGAGAAATCTGGGCAGGCTTTCCTCAGCCAGCAGTCTTCAGTTCCATGGCTATCAGCACACAGGCTTGCAAAACATGTTGTGCTACTCACTTATTCAGAGCTCTTGCACGTTCTTTTCCTATTTATAGTGTTTGCTTCATGGCAGGCTCTCCAGCGGAAGTCCTGGTATAACCTTATGATACCCCCTGACTTCAGAAGTTTCTTAAGTGCCATCTTTGATCTCCATATCTTGTGAAAAGACTCAGCAAAACCTATTTTTTTTATGCTAGTGTGAAAATTACAATTAACAATTCTTTGAAAGGCTTTTATGCATATGTAATTGCAAATGATTGAGTTCCTAAAACTTTGCAAAAAATATTGGGTTTTTGTTTGATTTTTTTCCCATTATACATTTGAAACACAGTATCTAGTGGAGATGAAAGTACTGTAAACTTAATTAGGGTGCCATTACATTAAACATGTGAAAATTGTTTGTGTGTGAAGTCTTTTTCTTTTTTTTTCCCTGTTCTTCAAGATGTAGATAGAAGGCAGATTCAAGTGGTTTGTGTGGCACTTTTTGTTTCGTGGAACATTTTGACCCTATTTTCCCTGAATGGGATGCAGGGGTTGGCAGAGAGAAGGGAGTGGGGCTGGAAGAAACTGACTTAATTTTAGCTGGTCTGTTTTAATTAGTGGGCAGGTTTGAGCAATGCAGGATTAATTTCTTAATTTCTCTTTCAGTAATCTTACTTTTCAGTAAGGTCTCTTCTAATGCTTGGGAAAACTGCATATTTAGAAGACTCTGTACAGAAGACACTTCTGTCGTGCCTGTATTTGAGAAAATATTTACTTTACAGCCAGCTGTGGTGTGTGGGTTTCAAGGTCTCGGTGTTTTTGAGCTGTTCCAGGTGCGGGGATGAGAAGGAGCGAGACCTGGGTGCTGGACCCAAACTGGCCAACAGGATTATTTCATACCATGAAGGTCAAATTCAAAATAAATTAGAAACTTTGCTGAGGAGTTCTCTCTCTTCCTTGATGGCTGAGAACAACAACATGACCCTGAGAACTTCTTGCCCCTCCCAAAGCCACAGGGCTTACAGTGTCCGACACTTGGTGTCCACTCCTGGGAGTGCACAGCTTCCTACTGATATAATGGGCTGACTATAATCCTCATATATATTATATCAGTCTTGGGGTCAATATTTTTAGTATTATTAATCTTAATTATTTAGTATTATTCTATTAACTCTGTTTATATTTCAGCCCTCAAGTTTCCTTGTTTTCTCTGATCCTGCTTCCCTGGTGGGAAGAATAATTGTCTAAAGGAGAAAAAAATTATTGTGGGTTCTTCATAACACTTGGAGATACTGGGAGTCGTTTGGAGTTTAGGCACTATGCCTATAAACCAAACAGACAAAAAAGCCTGTGCAAAAGCCTTTTTCTGGGAGGCAGAAAGCCTCTGCCAGTGCTCTGACCATCCCGCTGAGGTGTGGGAGAGTGGTACAGCCAGCGCTAATTGGCCTGGGTTGCCACTGAAGAGTGCAGGTCCTGAAGCCAGGATTAGGATGCTGTCATGGTAATTTGAAAGTTGACTGCAGGACTGTGCTTGGAAGTTCTTGTTTTCTGGGTCTAATCCTTAGAACGTGGAGAATATAAAAGTTTTGAGATTTGGTATGTCTTATTGAGTGATTTCTCATTAGAACCATCTTCCCTGGAACCCCAGGAAATTGCCATCTTAACAATGCAAACCTGGAATTTGAGGACTAAATGGGTTGGAGACAGTGGAAGATCTGTGTTATATTTTTATGCTGAGGGGTGTGGGTTGTTTGTTTGGTTTTTTTTGGGGGGGGGTTGTTATTTTTTTAAAATTATTTTTATATTGAAAACTGTGGGAGACTGGCTAGCTGAGAAGGGTCACATAGACATGGGTCAGCTAGTCCAGCAAGAGCTCAATAAGCACCGTACTCAGCTTATCTAGTTCCCAACAACTGCGAGGATGTTCTGGCCTTGAAGGCAGCTGTGGTCCAACAACAGAATGTCTGTGATAAGGAAAACATGTAACCTTAAGAAAGGAATTATGGGCGGAACTGTCTTTTTAGAACTAACCAATAATGAGCTCACATTTTGCAATATGTATGAGACAATTATGGGTGTGCATGAAAGAATGATAGTGTGTCTAAATAAACAAAGATTGCTGATCACTCATATTGAGTGCTCATATCTTCCCTCCGTTGCACCGGAAAACTCCCATCAGGAGAGTCTGCTGGGCTTGAAACAAAAGCCTTGTGTAGAGTACCTTGACTGTGCTGTCTGCAGGGCTCGTTTCAGAATAAAATGCTGTTCAGAGGATCATTGGGTCTCGTGGCTGAGCCTGGCTGGCCTGGTTTCACATCAGACCCTCTTGTTAGGCACCACTTGTTACTGGAATTTTCTCTAGACATGAGGAAAACAGAAAAGATGTTTCACTTTAACGCCTGGCACTTGCAAGATTGTATTTTTATTTTTTTTTTTTTTAGCCTTGAATATGCAGGATTTCGGGAAGTGATCTAATACAAAGTAGTGTATTATGCCCACAGGGCAGATGTAACCTAGGTTCCTCTCCTGTCTTGCAACAATAGGTGCCTCAGAGAACTCAAATTATAAAGTCGAGCTGAAATGCCTGCCCTGGGTCAGTGTGGATCCAGCCAGGATCCACCTGGCTGAAGCAGGGGAAGCCCTTTGAGGGCCATGATCATAATGCTGAGCATGCCAAGCTCCAGCTGCGAAAGAAGATACCTCTCTCCTCCATCCAAATTCCTTAATGAATCCAAATAATGGTTTTGATTCAGTCGTTCTGCTTTAACATGTAAATTGGTGAAATGGAAGTAAGTCTTTGCCTGTCAGGCAGCTGACCTGGGTTGATGGTTCTGCTGCCTCTTTGTAGCTCGAACTTGGAGACAGGTGGGGAGGCAGGACAGGGGGTGTGTTGCTGGGATCAGTGTGCAGATGTTATCGCTTGTGTACAAATAAATGAAATAATTACTTGTGCAGATGGGGCATATACACAACTTGCTTCTATGAGGAGCTGAATGCAGAGCTCCTGGCTTGTTTGTGGAAACGTAATGAAAAGGAACACACATTCTCTCCTATTCTTCTTACACACCCTCTCCTCTTTTTTTCTCTTTTTGGTGTCTTGGGCTCAACTACTCCAGCCCTTCTCTTTTGGCAATGGCTCTTTTGGCAATACTTATTAGGTTTCTACTTACTTTGCAAGTCCCTATTAATTCATTTTAGTTTGTGCATACAGAACATATTTTGCAACCCAATGACATTTTGTGAAATGGTACAAATCATTTCAGTGCAACCCGATTTCCTCCTGTCTGCCTTTCCCCGTATCCTGTTGAGTTAGTCAAATACACAGCATGGGGTTTTGTACTGCTTTTCTGCTTTTATTCTGTCGGTGGGAGGACAAATGATACCCAATCTTTCATGAAGCTGGACAGCTGCTGACAAATGATATCTTACATAAAATCTGCTGATATAAATTTAACCTACAAATGTTTTTGAGAAAAAAAATTGACCTGGCAGAAGTGAGTTTGTGTTTGATTGGCACTTTGCACAATAAGCTTCAAGTTTAAAAATAAAAACAAAGCCCCAAAACAAACCCCACCTTGGTGAGTGCATACGCTACCTTGAGCAGAGTAACTGTTTTCTCTCATAAAATTCCTTCTGTGTTGAGGGAAACAGAACTTGTAGCACATGATAAATTAACAGGATTTTGTAAGAGATACTGGAAGAAAGTGGCTGGAACACTTAGACCTCCAGAGTTAGCTTTACGCTTGCCGAAAACCAATGATTTATTTCGATTTATGGGCACCTAACAAAAGCAGCATATGGCACTTCATGAAGTTACCGTCTTGTCAGCTGAGTTTTATTAACTGTTTCTAAGTGCTGTCTTACGTCTGCCCAGATCCAAGGTATTTGGATCAATTTACGTGTCCTTCACTGGCTATGAGAATGCAAGTAGTTACAGTGAGTTATCGCTGCCTAGACCCACAGTAACTTATTAGATGCTCATAATTCAGTCATACGTTTCAGCCCTGACCTGAGTTACCTGTGGTTACATAAATAATCTGAGATAGAGCCACGAGGAGAGGCCAGGTTTCTTGGCTCCTGACGTTGTACCCTTATCATGAGGTTATTCTGACTTGACTCAGTCAGGTCCTGCCTGAATCAGAGTCAAATTATCAGGCTGCACCGGGTGATGTTTTTTAGCTCTGTTACAAAGCTTGTCCTGTGTATGCAGTGCTTCTGTCAAAGCATCTTTCTTCTGTTATGATGAAGGTGGATCAGAAACTGCCCCTGTTTTATGTTGATAGTAATGTATTTTTTCATGAGTGGTTGTTTAGTGGAGGAGACATAGGTGGTTATTTGCACATCTGTGGATTTACCAGTAATTCAATCAGTGTGCATTAAAAAGGATGTGGGTGGGAAACACTGCAAATGCAACAAAAAGACTGTGTGTTTGAAAAAGGGTGGATCCTGCCATAAAGAATGGGCGAGCGTGGAGGATGGGCAGTTCGTCACGGAGCATCACAGCTGCCCAATAAGCAGTCTACGTGTGCCAAGCAGAGTGTGTTTGAAAGAGGGAGTATGACTATATTATTGCATTTAACATGCTGCAGGAATCATGTGGATACACATTATTTATGCCTGTATGTACTGTTTCCAGTAGCTGCCTGACTGTCACTTCACACTGACTTAACTACTATAAAATCACAGCTGTCACAGCTCATGAGCACCACGGTCCATTCTAACAATATCATAAATCTGTTTACTTGCTGCCCATGAAGCCTAAGGGCCACAGAAATGCTACATTGCACAGCAGTACTCCCCTATGAAATAAATAACAAGCCATCTTTTCGTGCATTTTTGTAAGGAATAGAGTTCTTTTTAAGGTGAATAAATACACAGATTAGGTTCAGAAAATATATTGGTCACCCTACACAGTCTGGAAATACAGGCTTGTTTCCTTTGAACATGGTTGAAGGTTTTACTCCATTTCAGTCTCAAAAAAACAGCAAGCAAATATGTCACCAAAACGGTGACTAGGAAATTATTCTATCTTGGAAAGATTGGGGTTTTGGTAGTGTTGTTTTTTTTTCTTTTCAGTAATCCATTGACATGCTAGTCTTTATGTAGAGCTGTTTCTTCTTGTTGGAATTGTTATAAAACGGGGAAAAAAAGCCTCCAAAAAAAAAAAAGCCCCCAAAAAAAAAAAAGCCCCCAAAAAAAAAAAAGCCCCCAAAAAAAAAAAAGCCCCCAAAAAAAAAAAAGCCCCCAAAAAAAAAAAAGCCCCCAAAAAAAAAAAAGCCCCCAAAAAAAAAAAAGCCCCCAAAAAAAAAAAAGCCCCCAAAAAAAAAAAAGCCCCCAAAAAAAAAAAAGCCCCCAAAAAAAAAAAAGCCCTCCAAAATTTTGTTGCATTAAAGATGTGAAATAACAGCTATAAAAG